TGATTCGAAAAGAATAACGCTAGAATATACTCTGATATAATCACAAACTCGATGCAATAAAGCACCCACCTTGAATAATGCATTCGATATCAAATCTGCGTGCTGCTGTAAATGCAAATATCGCAACATATCAACTCCAGCACACAGAAATGCTGTCGGATTGGCCAAGTCTTTCCCGGCCAACTCCTTTCCCGTATTACGAGTTCCCTTGAATATGACAACATCCATATTACAACAACAACAAAGTCATGATGAAACCTCAAAAATGACAATAAACAAATTATGAGCATCATTAAATAATACTGAGAGGGCACCGTAACAAAGGTGAATCCTGATGAATAACAGTAGTAATGAATAATAATAATGAATGTAACGAACAGTCTCAAAGACAGCATATTTGCATCCGATATTGATGCCAGAGACGAGTCCCGGACCTCCGACAAGTCCACAGGCGATATTCGATATAATATTGCCATATAAATTGGGCATTAACATGACATCGAATTGCTGTGGTTTTGATACGAGTTGCATTGAAGCATTGTCGACTATCATCGAGTCGAGTTGAATCGATGGGTATTCCCTCGATGCCATCTCGCGACACACCTTCAATTTTATCTATTCTTATTATTATTACTATCAAATGCTTATCGAGGCAATTTTCTACGCATTAAATTGAAACATTTTCATAATCGACCCAATTCGTTTCGATCAATTAAATGCAAAATGAAACTGCAATAACCTGCAGGAAAAGGCCATCGCCAAGTTTCTGTATATTCGCCTTATGAATGCAAGTGACCCTCTTGCGGTTGTTCAACAACGCGTATTCGAATGCGAATCGTGCAATACGTTCGATATTATATCGCGTTATAATCTGCAATTTGACAAATCTTCACGTTTCATTTTGGAATGACATTTCAAAGGAAAATTCGTTTGATGTAATTTTCCACGAACTCGACACCACAATTGTTAAAACCTTTCATTGCGCAGTGATATTGGGACGAGAATTGGATTTGTAAAGTAATTACACGGATAAAACAACGATGCTGTTTATATCTACAATAACAAAAATAATCAGATTGATAGTTGACAACAATAAGCGAAAATAAAATCAATCAATAAAGCAATCAATCAATCAATCGATCACCTTGATACTTTCAACGACTCCGTGGACAGCCTCGTGTTCAAGGCCAGAGTATTCCCCTTCGGTATTCTCGCGAATCAGAACGATATCGATGTTTTGATGTTTCGATCGAATCGTCGGTATCGATGAACAGTGCAAAACGTTCGCGAACAAATCCAAACGTCTCCTCAACTCGACATTTCTCGACGTGAATGATGGATCATCGAACTGCGTTTCGATATTGCCCTTTAAAAGTTTAACGCTTCAAATTATTCCAATTCTGAACGAATTCAACAGAAACCAAATGTAAAACAATGCGACACTGAAAAAAATGAATGAAACTGCAGCCACCTTAAGCGCCACTCCATTGCGTTTCACTGAAACAAGAGCATGCTCGAAATCGTCTTGGCCAGAATCCGTCGTCAGTGGAACTTCTTCGAAATCAACTGGAACCTGGAATTAATTTCGGGTCAGCACTGAAATTTTTTTGAAATAAAAATACTGAATTGAAAGACAAATTTGAACGCACGAACATTTGCAAAACGGAATATCCTTTCTAGATGCGAAACCATTTCTGGTCCGATCCCATCGCCAGGCAATACTGTAACCGTATGACGACCGCCATACTTACCCAGAGGAGTCTGCAATAGCAACGATTATAAGTGATAAATATCGATAGTAATATTCAGTATCGTTACTTACATCTTGTGATATTTATTAGTACTTGCAATTATGTATTTATAGTTCTTATATTAACATATGTTAAATTACCGTATTTTCTGCACTATAGATCGCACTGGATTATAGGGCGCACTCTCAACGAATCGCCTATTTTCGAACCTTTCTCTTATATTGAGCGCACTGGACTATAGGGGCATTAGGGGAAGCAAAACAGGGCAGTAACCTCCAAGGTCAGTAACCAGAATTAATCCATACATGAGGCGATCCGGGTTATAAGGTGCACCGTTATTTCGAGAAAATTAAAGGCTTTCAAGTGCGTCTTACAGTCCGGAAAATACGGTATATATCAATTATATATTTCCATATTTACAGTGGCAAAATCTGATGAATGGTCAACCGACCTTGTCACCGGGTAATTGATGTGGCTGTATTGCAACACTTGCGATCGAACGGAACGATGATTGGAATAGATTTTTGAGTGTGAATCGATTTGAAGAATATTTTATGAACAACGATTTCGTTTGATTCATTCCTTAAATGCATCGACATTCAACGAACGGAATCAAATTTGATCACTGACGTTTATTCACTCGTTTAATTTATCGATCAGCAAAATGAATACTCTAAAATTCACTCACAAGATTCATATGGGAAGTGTTTAAGTGATACCAATTCCCGTTGTCTGCCCAACATTCCGGCGAAAACCCAAAAATGCGATAGGTGAAAACACTTTCGTTCATTTTTCCCTGTTTACCACAGAACTAGGGCTGCATTTGGTCGATGAAATTATTTTTTGCGGACTTTTTTCATAACCTAGAGTCGAAAGAATGCCCTCAGTACCTCACTGCATGGCAGTGGCTTCTACCAGTATCATCATTATGATAAACTGATAAGTATTTAACTGTAAACTATAAACGAGAACAACATTTACTATTGTTATTCCTTAATTATACTGGAATTTCATCGATTACTCCATCGTTCGATTGAGAATTACCGAATTTTGTGAGATAATTCATTGAAAAAATTAAATTCCGGTATAGCGGTAAAAATTTGATAGTGAAAAATAATAAAATAACGTTGAAATTAAATTGTAGTGAGGATTGTGCACACACACAAAACATTTGTTCAATCGTCGTTATACAACGCATTCAGTTATATCAATCGTTGTGCGCAAATCGAAACTCGCTTGGCGTATTGACTGCTTGTTGCGTTCACACTCTCACCACCCTTTGTACAACTCCTTCAATTCGTCTCTTTTTACTCAAAATATCTTCTATTTCACTAACTTCTTAAAAGAAAGCACTTATAAATTATAGAGTAAACTCTTCAGCTCATAAAAGATCACAGAAAAATTATGAAAATTCAACTCAATTTCGCTGGAAATTCTCAAATCTGAAAGATATAATCGATGAACATTTCCGACTTTTTTCCACACAACATTCCACATTGATGAAATATGTGGTATCACTCATATCAGCTAATTTTTAATGGCAGTTTTTCTGAAAAATTTTTTCACTACTAAAAATTTTCATATCCGTTAAAAGCGATTTGGGTTTGTTAATGTAATGATTATAAGAAATCTGAGTAAAATTAAGAATTTTATTTATCTCTCATAAAAATGATTAACTCGCAATAACTTTGCAACAAACAAACGAACAAACTCAACAATTCATAATGTAACATGCACGATTTGTAATTATATAAAAACGATGCATAACACAACAAAAACAACCAACAATATTAACATTTCATTCAAGAATTTCTTAGAATTTCATTTCACTTCTCCACTTTCAGCTCGGTCGGAATTTTCGTGCTGCTTTCGCCAGTGCCAATTTCTTTTTGTCTTCATCAAATTTCCGTCGCAGCTCTTCCAAGTCTGCAAAAACAACAATAATAATAACGATAATTATAACAAAAATAATAGTAATAATAACAATAATAATAAGACAACGAATTTCCATAATAATATATTAATAATGACATTAATAATAATAACAATAATTAATAATAACAATAATGACGATAACAATAATACTATAATAAGTACAACAATGAATGCAGTCAATCGAAAAAAAATGAATCAGTCGCAAAGGAAAATAAAAACCGAACGAAATGAAACTAACGTTTCATTTTCGATTGCTTCAACTGGAACGTATAAAACGGCAAATTGTCTTTCTGAAATGAAATTTGTTTTGAAACGCGATGAATTCGATCTTTGCTTTATTTATAACAAAGCAAAGAAGGAATCGTTCACTGTGAATATAAACACAAACCAATTTCTTTTTATTCTTCGTCAACTTCAACAAATCATCTTTATTCTTCACCACTACTGCGGCCGGAACTGGCTTGAAGCCTGAATAGTGTATAAACGATACAACAACATTATTAATAATAATCATATTGAGGTTAATAATACCAATGATAATATTAATAATAATGATAATAATATCAAAAATAATAATAATACCGATAATAATAATATCAATGATAGTATTGATAACAAAAAACAACAATAAATAAAACGAACGCGATCTAGTAACTGTAATCCATCCCTCCTCATCAGGTACATTGTGCATTTTCTTTGCTTTCCGTTTCTCCTTAAAACGATGTTCTTCATTCGTGTAATGTAAAAGATGCTACTGGATAATAATAAATAACAATAATAATAATACACATATAATACAATAAATAAAACCAACCTCCACTACTTTCTTATCATAAACCTCAAAGAATTTATCCACTCGTTGCTGAAGCTCATCCGGGGATACGATTGCTTTTCGATATTCACTAACGTATTCTGCAATCAGTTCATTGCAAAAATTATAAAAATAATCAAAATCGCAAAACCAATAAATAATAATAACAGTAATAATAATACTGATAAATACTCACTAGTAATACCGGTCGGTAAAGTATCGATTCCAATCGAAGATAAACAAATGACGG